TGCCTAACAACCTTACTTGTGCTGGTGATGCATTCCAAGCGTGCGAAAACATTAGTTTGCATTTCCTGCACACGTCATCCCTCACCTGTCTGTGGTCAAATCACAGACTGCCATGGAACTGAAAGGCTTTTAAGCTCGAGAGCTTTTCCAGGGGGATCCCCTGAATGTTTTTGCAAAACTCATCCATAGACATGATGTTACTAGGTCTCCGTGAGCTAAACTAAAAATAGATGCAATTTTAAAACACATTTGTTTTGCATGTGTTCTTCGTTGTCATCATATATATTAGCAGTTTCAGTGATCACTTCCATGTATTGCAATTTGATTGTGGAGTGTCTGTCGAATTTGGATGATCAATCTCCCAGGCCCTCTGTTCAAAGACAGGTTTCTGAATTTAAAGATGTCTTCCTGGTTACCACCTTCAGTGCACTCAGCTGACCCGGCCTGAGGTAGCACTTGGGCAGTTCCTATGCTCCACCTGAACTGGAGACTTTCCTCATGGAAAGCTCTGTAAGTCGGCCTCATGCGAAAGATGATGGAAGAATTCCGTTAGTTTTTTCAGTATTAGAACCTTAAAAAGTCACTGAAGCTGTACTAGCCTTTCTGTTTACTCTCAAAGGACACATTCTGCCTTCTTTAGAAACTTAATTACAGCATCCTCAAGGCACCTCTAGATTGCTGAAGAAGACAACTTCATGAATCTTTGAAAGTTGGGAGAATCTTTATTTATTCTTCTGATAATTCTGCCTAAAGTGCATTTTTCCCAAGAAGATTTCTTTGTTCTTTGTTCATGAACAAATCTTTATTCATCATAACTCGGAATCAAATTGTCCCTTTTCACAAAGCCACTCACGTTCTTTCCCGTTCCTTGGCACAATGAAGTCATGCATATGCATGAGACCTTGCGAAGTGTCATTCTAGGAAGGGCTCTTACTGTATGTGTGGGAAGAAATCATTAGAATGTGGTAGCCATGGAGCCACTTTATTTTTCAGACTTTGGCTGCCTCAAGGGAGTCCGGGGCATTGTAAATACTATGTGTTAAAGTGCAAATACTCCACTTATTATACCAACAAATTCGATCTAGACATCTCATTAAAAAAAACGGATTTATCAGAACCTTTTTGGAGAAACGTGACAAAATGTATGAATAAAATCTCATGATTTTAAATTATTTTAAACTGTTATAACTATCTTGGCATTTATATTTACCTTTCCAGGATATCAGAAGGCGTGTTGAAAGCTTTTTGGAGCAACAAAGGGAAAAAAGGAAATGTACCCTTAAAACTCAGACACTGATCATCTAATACACTAGACAACCTCAGAACTACCAGCAGATGGCGCAACAACCTATTTTATAGTCAGAGGAAGACTTCCATTATCAGAAAATAACCTAAAATGGCACGTTCTCTTTGCTTATTAATTCTTAATGCACTAAATGTAATGACTTTAGTAACAATAAAAAAGTAAAGCTGTAACCATAGAAACTATAATATTTGTGTTACAGTGACGGTAGGATAATTATTATCTGATTTTTTTTTTTTTTTTTAATTTAAAAAAGACCTCAGAGCTCTCTGGTCCAATTCCTCTGTTTAATAGTAGAGGAGACTGAGGTTCTTAACCTTGAACTTAAGCCCCGAGTGGGGAAGGTCTTGATGAGCATCCTAGTCACATCGCTGAGTCCAGCACTCATGATTCAGTGACACTGCCCCTCAGCCAAATACAATTTTTAGACCAATAATTATAATTTGGGGGTATTTGGGATCACTGAAGTCAATGGATGTTTTTCATCTGGTGTTACCTGTATAGACTCTTTAGTTCTCTTGCAGGAACATTCATCTTTTCAGAGAAACGGCATTTTCAGGAGGAATATGTGGTTCTGTCACATGTTTACCATTTTCTAAAGCATCTCTGTTTCCAGTGTGAATTGGAAATGCCATTTTTCAAAATGCTTCCTTCCTAACCTCTGTCTATTTCTGAAATAGAAGGAAAAGCATTTTCCATACGTTTTATTTGTACTAGGAAGCTATTCTGATAGAGTCAACAAATATACTAACAGGAATGATTAAGGAGACCTGGCTTCTGTCTTGTTGCCAGAATGCTAATGGAAGTGCACACTAGTCTTCAAAAAATAGTGTTTGACACAAAACTGCATTATTGAATTGTAAACAAAAGAACACTGAAAACTTGAGTTTAAAAATAACACAGTGCACCCAAAATATAATCGCCTTTCTTGAAAACGACAAGGACTGAAAATTGACATGATAGTCATAGACTTCTAGAACATTGAGTATTTTAAATTTTACATTATTTTTGTTGTTAATGTTGTCAAATGGCTTAGAAACTGGCAGGACTATAAATGATTTATGCTAAAAGTAAACCATTAGAAGCTTTTGTTGAAGAGGCCTGGAAAGATAAAATTTCTGGAAAACCAAGATGTCTTATAAGATTTGTCTATTCTTCTTTCCTTTTATCAAAGGTGATAGTTTTAACCCTAAACAATGGAGATAGTAGTTTAATAACAAAATAACTTTCTATGTGTTATAACTAGAGAATATAAGGTAAACAACACTTCAATCAAATATCTAATTGGAAAAAATAAGTTACTTTGCAGAATTCTTCAAAATATTATTTTAAAATACGATTTATTTTTTTATTTTATTATTATTATTTTTTTTACAGTTTCCTTTTGAAAGTGTCTGGAAATCAAATTGCCTAGATCATTACACTAAGTTTCAATTTGACAAAGGCTGTCCATTGGGACATATTGTTTAGAAACAAGATTCAGCGAGTGAATGCAGAGTACAGCTCTTTTCCCATTGTTTGGCTCAAATAGCTTGCTACTATTAATATTATTACTATTTTTTGCCATTAAAGTGCAGCAAAATGGGCATCCAATTTTTGGCATCCAATTTATGAGCAGAAGAAACTTTATTAAATAACTGAATGTCCAGGCCTGGTGTACTCATAAAAGTAAATGGCATAATCAGATGTTCTCTTGGAGACTACTGAGATTTAACATTTGCTGATTTAACCATCTTGTTCCAAATAAAGAAGAAAAAAAAATCCTCTGATTTTATTGTTAGAGCTCTGCATGGACAACCATGTCAAACCATTTGGCAACATTATGGGAAAATTTGGTAAGACAAATTTGATTTGTAATACCTATTTGAATTGGAAATTATATCTTAGGGAACATGATTTCCCTGATGCTTACTTCATTAAAAAATATCCTGAACCAAAAGCCTGGCAAAATATTCTCTTGAGAGCAAACCTACATTATTTAAAAGGTTTAACAATTTATCTCCCTAGCCAAATTGAAACCATTTTGCATATCACATGTTTTCTTTTGGTTAATATTTATCTTATCTTTTTATTTTTATTTTAATCCTTACCCAAAGATGATATGTTTATTGTGTGTGTGTGTGTGTGTGTGTGTGTGTGTGTGTGTTTGCTTGTTTTTAAAGAGAGAGAAAAACACTGATGTGAGAGAGAAACTGATCGGTTGCCTCCTGTACACTCCCTGACCTGGGATCAAACCCAAAACCTAGGTATAGGCCCTGAACAGGAATCAAACCCTCAACCTTTCTGGCGCAAGGGATGACCCTGCAATCCACTACACCACCCAGCCAGGGCTACCTTAGCTTTAGATGAATAGAAGTTTGAACAAGTAAAAATGTACTGATGACTTTCATAGGAACCAAGAAAATAATTTGAACCTAGTAATAATGGCTAAATATTGCTTATAAATTGACTTGTTAACCCATTTTTTTCTGTCACTATCTCTGTTTGCTAAAACATTGCCAAATTACTAAATCTATGAGTTATGACATACAAATATGTGAACCATCCCCATAATCAAGCATTTTAAGGTTTATGCTTCCAGTGCCTGACCACCCACAGGTTAGGTGGAGGTAAACTGGGACTATGAATAGCTTCTCCTCCATTCAGGTTAGCTGTTTTGACTAAAGCCATTTAGTCAAACATCTTTTTTTTTTTTTTTAACTGTATTTTGGATTTCAGAATTGTAGAACCTGGGCAGCCATGGAGATTACCAATTAAAACAATACAAACAAAGTAAAAGTTGTGATAATTCTTTCCTCAATAGTGGGGATCCTTCATAACAGGATAGACACTTGGCTTCTACCCTCCACTGATGTCCATTTTCAAGTGCAGGTGGATGGAAGTTCACATCTGGGGAGGGAGTGTGCTTGAGTGGTGGGGGCATACTTTGTCAGTATTTACTTTGCTGGTCCCATTATAAATTTCACTATCTTTACTTTCATGCATTTGTGTGTGTGTGTGTGTGTGTGTGTGTGTGTGTGTGTGTGTGTGTGTGTCAATGCAAACATATGAACTAATTGGGGGGGAAAACCCCACAATAAAACAACAACAGAAAACCCTAACTTTTATGAATTTTGCAGTTTAGTAAGGGAGTGGAGGGGGCAAAACAGAGAGAAGCTGGCAGTTGTTGATCAAGACCTGGCCTTTAGGGCTGGTTGCTGCTGAGGTTGTTGGTCAGAGTTCTGTCATAGATGGTCAAGCTGTTGTCTTTTTTTTTTTTTTTTTTTTTTTTTTTTTTTTTTTTTCCATATTCAGTCTCTCAGTGTAAAATAGTTCTAGAATTTCTAAAAGGGAGACACTTAAAAAGATAATTTTATGGAAGGAGAGTTTCGGAGTTTCCATGAAGCTCTATGTGCATGGAAAACACGCTGGCTGTTTGCAGATTACTTGTTTGCTTGGAGTGGCTTTGAGTAGAACATGCTGGACACAACAAGGTTCCTAAGGCCCCCACTGCTTTCTGTAGCTCCATAGCTGGGGGTACCTTCCTGTGTTAAATTTATTTTATTCTTATCAGGGAGCTTACATCAACCTTCTTGATGTCATCAAGCAAAAAGGTTCTCAGAACAGGCAAGAATTTTAAATCTTAAATAAAACATTCCCCTTTCTGTGAAAGATTCTGCTCTAATGAAGTACGCTAACTCAATGAATTGCTTTGCAGGTCCCTGGGAAGTCACTGAGAAAATGACGAATAGAAAGAAAAGTGAAGGAGTTGTAAGACTGAAAAGAGAGATGGGCCAATGAACTTCTGAGTCACTTGAACAAAATCAAATACTAACTATGAAAATCAACCATTAGTCAAACTAATTGATTTATAAAATGAATAGTCGTCTCAGAATCAAAATAATGATATTAAATGGCAGAATAACTGCATTTGAGGTTATTGAAAGGGAAGAAAACCTCTGCAGTGACTAAAGTTAATGGCCTGCTGTGCTCTAATGTCAACTTCCCCCATTCAGAATATATACGTATTTCTCTCTCTCTCTCCTCTCCATGGGTTATTCATATTCATATGACTATGGGATTAGTTCACAGATCACAATAAAACAAGATTATGATGTGAATATTACTCTCATATTTTGAATACTCCCTGAAGTGCTTTTTGGGTAATTAGAGTGATTTTTCATTTAGAATGGGAATATACTGATTTTAATATGAAGGGTTTCTAACATATAGCTCCTAAATGCATGTTATCTTTTTACATTTTTATAAAGATGCCCATTTGAGGCTTCCAAAGCCCATGGGTAGTTGAAGTTTATTTCCTATTCAGCCAAAAACTGCTCTGCAGACACATGCAGTGCAGCTCCTTATGGGAACTGTCAAGAGCTTGGAAGGGCCAAGGGTTTTGCCCAACTTGCAACAGACAAGTTAGGCTGCCACAGTTTTGTGGGATCTCCCAAAAGACATGAGGTTCCTGCACCAGAGACAAAGGACTTGATTACTCATGGTGCCACAGCCCCTGAGCTTCCTCCCCACCTTGTTAGTCACTGAGTCTGACTCAACTCACCCCGAAATGGAAGTATCAGGTTAGACACTCACAAGGTCTCGCAGGCAACAGACCCCCAAATCCGGCATCTCTGGGTGAAGGCTGCAACCCTTGGTCAGAAGATCTATTGATAAAATCCATCAGTCATATAGATTTATAGTTTCAAAGGTTCACTAAGGTTTGGGGCACTAACAGTAGAGAGTAGATCACACTTTGCTGAACAGTTTCTAACACAACTTTCTGATTTAAACTCCTTTCTGATTTGTATGTTAGCCAATAAAAATGCCTCATAGAATGCCCAAGTGAGGCAGGCATACATGGTCTGCAGAACCCAAAGAGTTTTATAAGGTGATGATGTCCTGCCTTAGTGGAGGTTGTTGGTGGAGGAGAGAGGCAAGGAGATTGCAGTGTTGAACTGGATGCTGGTTTGATTGGGGACTGTGAATTCATCTACGTGTTCCCAAGAAACAATGTTCTATGTTTAAGCCCCTGAATTTTATGTGGGTTTCTCCTTGGGCAATGGTATGCCTATTTATAATCAGGGCCACTGAAGCTTCTGACTTTCCAACCAACAGTGAAACTTTGAACAAGAGAAAACTTTAGTACAAGTGTCACTGGTACTAGGTCCTAACCCACCTTCTAGTAGCCAATGACTGAGGAGTTTGTCTAATTAGCACTTCTCTGCCTGTGGCTCTTCCTGATGGAGGAAATCCCCTTTGTGCTAATGGGACTGGGGTTCAAGCATATGATATTTCAATGACCTATTGTACATTCAGATGTAGATGTGACATCAGTAGGGTACTGCTGTGCTCAAGGGTCCCATATTCTTCTCTATTGAGAACTCTGCTCTACCCCATCACTTGAATTTGGGCTTTTCTGGGATCAGACAGGGTGGAAACTTGGGTGATAGTATTCACCCAGCAGAGATGCAGAGCTTCGGATTCACTCCTTCCTGTTCTGCAGCTACTTGGATGGGCGGGCATGGTCTTCAGTCCCACTTGGGGACTAAGAGGCTTTGGCTCCACCCCTAATCATATTAAGTTGTTTTAATACAATTTTAAGGTGCTGTAAATGCAGCCACACTCTGCAGTTAAAGGATCCTATATGTGTAAATAAAGAATAACTAAGTATTTACCAGGCTTTTAACATAAATATTCACATACGAGGACTTAGGTTTTGGATTTTATGTTTTTAAAGGAGTCCTGTTTGGATAATTACCTTCTTACACTGGTTGCTGGTAATAGTTCACTGATATAACACGGCAAAGTCTTGGCCTGGCCTATCTCCTCCAGGGCCCACCACGTTTTCTACTACCTGTTCTAAGTTCTACTTTTGGTCTTTATGAATTGACTATTCTATTATCTTATATAAGTGGAATCGTACAATATTTGTCCTTTTATGACCTGCAATATTTCACTTAGTATAAAATCTTCAAGGTTCACCCATCTGCAGTCTGTGTCAGAATTTCCTTAACGTACATTTTTCGTTGCTATTTTCAATTTAAATTTATCATGTCCTATCACCCAGGTTTTTTCATTCTTTGAAAGAAAGTCTTCCTTTGGCAACTTAGGGACTTTTGAGAAAGTAAGATAGGAATAAACTATCTAAAATATGAACCATAAATAAGAATACATTGTATTAGTGAGAAGAAATTTGATTCTGCTGACTAGTACTGAAGTTTGACCTTTGTGATCATCTCTTAATAAAAGAAAAATAGAATACTGCACTACGAAAATGTTTATTCATGGATCAACAGAGAGAGGAAGACCTTGATCTGAGAGGAAGGTCTCAGAAGTATGCCTGTCAATGTTCATATGGGTCTTAGGGAGCAATAATGGCTATAAATCTGCAACTCAGAGCATTGCAGGCTACACACATCTAGCCTTACTGCCATTGTTCACTTGACCCCTTTATCGAATTTTCCCACCCACTTGCTAATGTCACCTTGCTCTGATGTAGGCTGTGCTTTAGCTAGTTTAAACCTCACTAGTGCATGAGGGGAATCCATATAAGGAGAAAAGCGAGAACTGTTGAATGGAAAGACCTTGCCCCCCAGAGCAGCCTACTAAGTGTGGAGCAAAACTAGAGTCGCAGATGTACATTTCCAGCTCCTCACTTCCCATGAGAGTAACATCCTTTTATGAATCAATCAACATTTACCTATCTGTCCCCTGCAGCAGTTTTTTGCGAATCATTTTCAAAAATCATTAAACCACTACCAGTTTATCCACTCTGCAAAATATATACAGCCTTTTCTCATAAGCAGCAGGGTTATTCCCCTCTTGGCTACATTTAGCTCTTTTAACTGCTCCTGATTTCAATAAATAGAAAATATATACACCTACCTAGGAAAATCATTCTTACACACAATTGCCTCTTGTGTTTACAAGTCTATAAGGCCCTGAAATACACACACACACACACACACACACACACACACACACACACAACATATGGAAGAGCTGAAGGGCAGGCTTTCCCCAAACTTAAACCTATCTGTCTTATCCAATATAAGAAAAGGGTAATATGCAAATAGACTGAATGGCAGAACAACCAATCAAAGCATAATATGCTAATGATATGCTTAGGCTGCTTAACTGCTCACTATGATGTGTACTGACCATCAGGGGGCAGACAGTCAATTGGTCAACCAGTTGCTATGATGTGCACTGGCCACCAGGGGTCAGATGCTCTGATCAGTAGGTTAGCTTGCTGCTGGGGTCCAGCCAATCAGGACTGAGTGAGATGGACTGGACATGCCCTAGGACTCTCCTGTGGTCCCTCCATGCACCAGTGGGGTCTCTCAGCCTGGCTTGTGCCCTCTTGCAATCCAGGACCCCTTGGGGGTTGTTGGAGAGCTGGTTTCAGCCCAATCCGCAGACCACTCCCCTTGGGAGGGCGCCAGATGCAGGGCTCATGGCTGGTGAGCGCTGCTGTGGCAGCACAAGCCTCTCCCGATTGGAACTGATTGGGTGCAAGTCCAGTGCAGGCACAATGGAGCCAGGATGAGCAAGTGTGGCAGGCAGGAGCTGCAGGTAGTGTTGAATTGTGGGTTTTGGCCTGATTCCCACAGGCCACCTAGAGCAGGGGTGTCGAACTCAATCAGAGAAGGGGCCAAAATCTAAAATCCAGTCTAAATCGCGGGCCGAATGATTTACTGAACAGTCATAAACTGACAATGTTAACCAGAAATGTGAATTTAAAATGAGTGGAACAATCTTTTCCTTAACAGTGCTGTTAACCAACTCACATGCTATCAAGCAAAACAGTAATATTGGTATCAAGCAAAACAGTAATATTGGAATGTACCTAAAATGCTCATTGTTTTGTTTTCTGGCTAGATGTCTGACACCGTTTTCCCCGCATCAATGAGTCAATGTTTGGTTTTATTTCTTGGGCTGTAGCAACCCACAAAACAGCATGGAGGTTGTCATCGGTAATGCGTGATCTGTGCTTGTTTTTGTTCAGATTCATTATTGAAAACATCTGTTCACAAAGATAGGTGCTCCCGAACATGGGTAGAATACGGGCAGCATGAAGTCGGAGCTCTGGCATTGAGTCAGGGGGCAGTAGAGGGTAGAAGTCCTCAATTTCAACATCCTGAAACCTTGATTTCAGGCCACTGTCAGACTGAAGCTCGATTATCTCCATCTGAAGGTGATGGGGCACATTGTTGACATCAACTGTAAAAGGATTGGCAAAGATGTCAAAGCCTGAGTGCTGTGTTCTAAAGTCAGAGAAGCGCCGCTCAAATTCACTTAGTAAACGGCTAACTTTGGTAGCCAGCCGACTGCAAGGAAAAGTACCAGAAATAGTGGTTGAGATACTCAAACAAACGGGAAAGTGGGCAAGATTGTCCTGTTCCAGTTGGGACTTCTATAGTTGAAGTTTACGCTGGAATGCTGTGATCATGTCAGACATCTTCGTGATGACTTGTTTGCGTCCCTGCAGCTTCAGATTCAGTTGGGCGAGATGCTCGCATATGTCACACATCATAGCAAAATCACATAGCCAGGCGGGATCCGACAGTTCAGGCAAGGGCTTTCCTTTACTTTCCATGAAAAGAGCAATTTGTTCTCTGAGCTCAAAAAATCTTTTGAGGACTGCGCTCTTGCTCAGCCATCTTACTTCTGTGTGGTATGGTATGGCACGTCTCCATGCTCTGCACCCACCTCCTGTAAAAACTGCTGGAACTGGCGATGATTCATGCCACGTGCCCGTATAACGTTAATAGTTTTAATGACTGTGGTCATTATGTCATTCATGTCCAGAACTTTTCCACACATAGCCTCTTGGTGGATAATGCAATGATAAGTAATCAAGGGTGTGTGGCAGTGACTTTTTTGCATTCTTTCCTTCATTAGTCCAACCAAGCCTTTCTTTTCTCCGCACATTGAAGGTGCGCCATCTGTAGTTAGCCCCACCAACTTTTCCCAGGGTAATTTAAAATTATTTATAGATTTCTCCACAGCCTCAAATATATCTCTACCAGTCGTCGTCCCATGCATGGCAGCTACATCCAAAAGTTCCTCAGTGACAGAGAGGTCGGTCTTCGTAGCACGTATAAAGATGGACAGCTGCGCTGTATCAGTGTTGTCTGTGCTTTCATTGATAGCAAGTGAAAAAGCGAGATAACTGCATGCCTGTTTGGCCAGCTGTGATGATAGATTTCCTGAGAGTTCTTGAACTCTATCTGCAATGGTGTTTCTTGACAAACTGACATTTTGAAAACTCTGTATCTGGTCTGGGCATACTTGCTCACACACTTTTAGCATGCATTGCTTCAAAAAGGCACCCTCTGAAAAACACCTTGAAGTACGTGCAATTTCTT